GTGAGAGAGTGTGAGAGAGAGAGAGAGAGAGAGAGAGAGAGAGAGAGAGAGAGAGAGAGAGAGAGAGAGAGAGAAAGTAAGAAAGATTCAGCACTTATAACAACAACCGTAACGAAATAACCTCCACCCTAAAAAAAAAACAGTATCCCCCAACCCCACCCCCCTAAAAAAGAAAGAACAAAAAGAAAAAAAAAGACTCAGTCACAGTGCCCACCACCTGCGCGTCTGCCTCTCCTCTGGGCACCCAATGTGTCACCACTAAACCTTGACTATAAAAACAAGCTTCTGTTTAAGTAGCTCGTATCTTTCCCCCCTCCCCCTTTTTTTTCTTTTCTTCCGATTTCTTAACGAGATTCACTTTTCGATTTAAATATTTTTGAGACCGAGGGATGAAGTTGTTCTTGGTTGAATATACATACACAGTATTTTGTATAAAAAAAAAATCGTTTCGTTTGTTTTCAGTTGTCTCTCCTTCTAATAGCTTCATTTGTATGCACTCTTGTTCGACAAATCGTTAAAGACGGTGAAAATATTCAAATTCAAACTGCCGGCGACGATCGGTTGATTCAAACGCCGACCGGTAAGCCGACAAAGCGACCGATAAAAGTCTAAGGTCTCGACAACCCACATTACGTTTATTGCTTTACTATTGTTCGTGCTTTGCCATTCTTATTGACTTCACACTGAGCAATAAATAAAGAGAAGGCAGAATTGAAGAAAAAAAAGTTAAAGAAAAGACTTTTACTACACATTCCCGACATTCTCCGAAACGCAACAAAGACAAAATCATACACAATTGTGCCTAAAGATAACATTAAAAAGAGAGAGAGAGAGAAAAAAAAACACAGTTAACTCCAGGAACCAAAACACATCTTAACCTCAACGCAACAAGATCTATAAATATAAACAAAAATATTTAAAACAGAGAATACTTTCCGTCTATCCACATACCTAACACCTTCCCTACCCAACTCAAAAGAAAAAGTACCAAAAATTACTATTTAAAAAAAATACTACAACAAAAAATAAAATACAGTGACCCTTTCCCCTCTTCCTTTGCGTCCAAGGATAACAATAACAATAACAGTAATGATAGTAATAATAATAATAATAATAATAATAAAACCCACATCTCAACCCCCTTAACAATAAAAAAAAACAACAATAATAAGAAGAGCACCTCCATCTCAAAAAAAAAAATAATAATAATAAAATAAAAAATAAATAAAATAAAATAAATAAAAAAAGTAAAATCTAAATTAAAAGAAAAAACAGGTTCAGCACAGTACTCACCGTGAACGAGTAGAAACCATCGGGAACGGGTTGTCCCCCAAACTTGACGGAAAGCGTGTACTCTCCAGCGTCCTTCACGGTATAGTAAATGCTGAAGGTGCCGTCTCCATTGTCCTCTATATCGATGTCGAGGTCACTGAAGGGGAATGTCAAGAGGCTTGTGGTTGCGGGAATGGTGGCAAAAGTGACGGCGTGCGATAGCGGTACCAGTAATGATGGTAATTTGCTAGATAAAAAAAAAACTAAGGGTTGTTGAAATAACTGGTAATGATACTTGGCTGTGCTGATGAAGGTAAAATTATGACTAATCTCAATGTAAACTTGGCATAAAAAATAGCAATGATACGACTAATGATGCTAAGAAGCCAGATACATAGTAATGGCAATAGTAATAATGGGCATAGTATGGGTAACCAATAATAACAGTTCTAAGGAGATACCAATCACATTAACAATTAAATCGATCAAAAACACTAAGGTAATTCTAAGAACCATCCTACCATCGTTACCGGGTCAACATCGCAGAACCGCATTCAGTTCATACCTTTGCAATCAGGGAAATCTAGAATACCTACTGATTTATGCACCGATAGAAAGATAAGCAAGCATGCAAGCCTAGGATCCCGGGCTAAGGACTGGGATATCAGCGAATCACCTGCATCTCGGTCACGTGAGCATAAAACCCGATATATGATACATTCCGAGTCTTAAAGCTCTAATTAAAGTCAGTTTAAATGATACGGGAGGTACTTGGAGAATGCTAAGTCATTTTGGCAAATACTTCTTGGGTGACTTAATTCCATCTACGAACAATGAGGAATTTTGGCAAAAAAAAAAGCTATTAAAATATCAATTCGTCCTTATTCTTCAGCCGCAAATAAAATCACATTCTTTTTCAACAGATTTCGCTCGCTTCTGCAATTATGCGATTTTGTCGTGAAATTAAAATGAAAAGTGAAAAGAATACACGACATCAAAATACAAATTCCTCTATTTACTTTACCTTGTAATATAAATGAAACTGAAATTAGGGAGAAATCTATCAGTAAAACATAAAATACCGTCGGCTCCTCAAAGTACAAAACTCACAGTTACAGAAAAAAATAACAATAATAACGACAACGATTTTGATGATGAATGTAAAACAGATTTAAAAAATGCATATATTCAAAAGAGAAAAAAATCTACATTGCGAAAAAATATATACATACAATAGAAAACCCTAAAACCTTAAACCACAAACAAAACCCACACTTAATAATAAAAAAACACAAACAAAAACCCAAAACACCAAAGAAAACAAAAAAGAGAAAGAAAATGAAAGGAAAAAATCCCACGAATACGTACCTGCCAGAAGTTGATCGTATCCTGCACGTTACGGCCCCTGTGCCTGCGTTCTTGGCATTGACAGTGATGCAGTACTCTTCGCCTATCGTTAACGAGTGGTTTATGCCCTCGGTTATCTTGCACTTGTCAGCCTGGAGGTCGAGGGAGAGTAAAGAACCGATATTATTCTTAATGTCTCCATTTCAAAAAGTTGTGAGAGCAATAAATATAGAGATAAATATGTGAATGAATCTTCCACGTTTTTTTCTTCTTATTATTATTTCATAATTCATATTATGGTTGTCTGATTTTACGTGGAAATAACTCGAGGAAAATAAACTGGCAATAAAGTCTTGAAAATGCCTTTCATGCTATCAATTTATGGCCGCTTAACAATCTAATTAGACATAAAACATTCTTTATCAAACGTTGACAGACACGCATTAATGTTTCTAAGATATCATTGTATCGTAGTGTGTGTGTGTGTGTGTGTGTGTGTGTGTGTGTGTGTGTGTGTGTGTGTGTGCGTGTGCGTGTGCGTGTGCGTGTGCGTGTGCGTGTGCGTGTGCGTGTGCGTGTGCGTGTGCGTGTGCGTGTGCGTGTGCGTGTGCGTGTGCGTGTGCGTGTGCGTGTGAACGTGCGCGTGTGTATGCCAGCATAAGTGTCTGAGTATATGTACGTTTGTAAACTTGCTTATTTATGTTTCTGCGTGTTCTCCAATCCCCTACCCTTCCCCTGTCTCCCCTCCTACCCCCTCCCACCCATCCCCCACCCCTATTCTCCTTCCCACCCCACCCACACCCCCACCCATCCCACATTCCCCCCTCCTCCCTCTCTCTCCATCACCTTTCCGGTCGCGTAGGCCTGCACGGGGAACGGCGAGTGTCCGACCTCCTGATCCGCGTACTTGACTGAGACCTTGTACTTTCCGCAGTCGTCGGGCACGTAGGAGGCGGTGTAGGTGCCGTCGCCGTTGTCCACCACCTTCACCTTGCGCGGGTGGCCGTCTGGGCCCTGGTGGGGAGGGGAGGGGAGAAGAAGAGGGGGGGGGGGAAGAGAGAGAATAAATATTGGTTGATTAGGATCGAATGTTGGAGAAATGGTGGTGGTGGAGATGACGATAGTGATGATGATGATTATAATAATAAAGATGATTACAGTGATAATGATGATGATAATGATAATAATTATAGTGATAATGATGATAATAATGATTATAAAGATAAAGGTAATGAAGACTATAATGATAATGATAACAATTATAATAATAATGATAATAACATCAATAATAACAACACTAATATCATCACCAACAACAACAGCCCAGACCACCTACCGTGACCGCCACCTGCAGGTCGCCGTGGCCAGCGTCGTTGGTGTCGATGGAGAGCTCCGTGGGCAGGGAGGCGGGGATGCCCTTGGTGGACACGCCCGCGCCGCCCACCTTCACGCGGTTAGGCTCGACTTGCGGGCGGACGCGGGTGCGGAAGGGGCTGTGGGCGGGAGAGAGAGAGGAGAAAGGGGGGTTGGGTTAATGGAGTGGTGTTGGAGGACATTTTTTTAAGTACCAATATTTACATTTTTATTTATTTACTTATTTTTATGGTTCTCCTGTTTTATTTTTTGTTTTATTTCAATTTGTCATCTCATTGTACCATTTTTTCCCTTTATTCATCATTTTCATTTTTTTATTTTACTGTAAAGTGTTACTTTTTTGTCAGTTCTTGTTATAATTAAACGTGTTTTTGGGTTCTTGGTTTTCCATCGTTTATTTGTGTTTTGTTTTTCTTGTTTTTGTTACTGAATATTTTAGATACTCTTCTTTGAGCTGCACCCAGAAATGTGTTCTATGAAATTCTATAAAATGTCACACATGGGGTTTTATATATTTTACCTAAACAAATACTCATTGTTAGGTAAACACAATAAAAATAATAAATACACAGAAATATTAACTGAATAGTGTATAATGCATCTGTTACTGTCCAACTGAACAAAAAGGCAATGAAATCTGACTGTATTTCTATATATCTGCAATACAGTAAGACATTGCTTTGCACTCGGAGATAGCAAATGATAATAATAGAAATAATAAAACAACAACAAAACAACAATAATATGAATAAATATAAGAATAAGAATAAGAAAAATAATAATTAATAATAACAATAACAACAACAACAACAATAACAATACCAAAAAAAATACTTATACAGCAAATACAACAAACAAAGATCATGCATAAAGCACTATACTATAAACCTTCATAACATGACAAACCTCAAAATAATCTAAAATCCTTCACATGTATATAATTCAACCTAACTCACTCAAAAATTTATATTTCCTCTTTTTTTCTCAATAAAGTTCAGTTCAAATGGTGCATTATTTCACCATTTATTTACCAATATTACACACACCTGAAAAAAAAAATTAATATGTATACCCAGTTACATTTGTATGTATGGATGTAATGGCTTGGGATCTGTTATGTTATCATAAGAAATCATTTACCGCAGAATATGATAATAATGGTAATAGTAATAGTAATACTAACACTAATAAAAAAAAAATAACAACAATAGTAATAATAATGATAATAATAATGATAATGATAATAATAATAATTACAACAACAACAATAATTACTATTCTCATTGTCGTTATTAGTAATATTATTGTTATCATCATTATTTTTAAAATTATTATAATTATTATAATGATTATTATTATGATCATTATTATTATTATTATTATTATTATTATTATTATTATCATTATTATTATTATTATCATTATTATTATTATTATCATTATTATTATTATCATCATCTTGATTACTATTATCATTATCATTATTATACTGTTCACAGATAATAACAATAATCTTAAAAAAAAAAACAAAAAAAAACACATATAAACAAATAAGATATACAAATTATATGTATATATGTATGTAAGTGTGTGTGTGTGTGTGTGTGTGTGTGTGTGTGTGTGTGTGTGTGTGTGTGTGTGTGTGTGTGTGTGTGTGTGTGTGTGTGTGTGTAGAGTGATAGAGAGAGAGAGAGAGGAGAGAGAGAGAGAGAGAGAGAGAGAGAGAGAGAGAGAGAGAGAGAGAGAGAGAGAGAGAGAGAGAGAGAGAGAGATGATAGAGAGAGAGAGAGAGAGAGAGAGAGAGAGAGAGAGAGAGAGAGAGAGAGAGAGAGAGAGAGAGAGAGAGTGAGAGTGAGAGTGAGAGTGAGAGTGAGAAAGAGCAAGACAGATGACCAGAGTCTCTCACACAAATACCAACAAATAAACAAAAACAAAAACTACTTCAAAACCAAACTGCAGAGATAAACACTCTGCCTTGCAAAACAAAATGTCAATTTGCTCAATGCATTATCATACATGCAAAGGCATCCAGAAAGACACACACAATTCACAGCCTTAATACCTCATAGTTTGTTGCATATAAGTTTTAATCTTAATTTTAATCTTATGAACAAGAAGTGCTTAGGATCATATTTTGACTGAAGGTAAGTGAAAAAATATACATAATTGAAATACTGAAAATAACTGAATAATTGAAAAAAAAAAAAAAACTTTCAGTACAAATCAAAAACGCTGAAAATATCTCAGGTGAAAATGCATAAAAAACTACAGTTGTGGTAATAGTAGTAGTAGTAGTAGTAGTAGTAACAGCATGATGAAGAAGAAGAAGAAGAAGAAGAAAAAGAACAGGAAAGAACAACAAGAAAGAGGAGCAGCAAGAAAAGAAGAAACAGGAGGAGAAGGATGAAGATAAGAATATAAGAAACAAGAAAAAAGAAAAAAAAAAGAAATTGAAGAAGTGGAAGAGAAAAAATGAAGAAGAAGAAGAAAAAGAAAAAGAAGTAAAAGATGAGAAAAAAAGAAGAAAAAGAAGAAGAGAAGAAAAAACGAACTATATCTAAGGAGACTGAGAAAATGGCAGACAAATGAAATATACCAATAACAACAAAAAATTACCTTATGTTGTAGAAAAAAAACACAAAGTTAAAACAGACACAAACTTAAATGCCCTTAAATTTTCCAAAACAAGCACACACAAACAAACAAACTAATAAATAAAGAAATGCACGAAAGAGTCACATCATGGCTTCCACAACCACATGAGCGAATTAGTCAAAAGTCCCATGCACACACATTCGCACTTGGTGAGATTAATGCTACCACTAAAATCTCCTAATGGCAGAATAATGAGCTGGCATTTAAAGAGGCTGAAATTAGCATAGGGCTTTGAGGATAGTCGCTCCCTATACAGAGATTTCTCCTGGTCGGGATGTCAGATGAGG